AGGCACGTTGCAGCAGTTCTCTGGAGAGGAAGCTGGAGTCTGGGACAGTGGGTCGTAAGGTAGAAACAGTTTGTTAAATAGTTTGTTTTTAAAAGTTTTACCCATAATTTGAAAAATGTTTTGGCTGATGCATATGGCCAGTTGCTTGCCACCGTATGATTTAAGTTTTATTTCTTCCCACAGAGAGGCAAAAGTGCACTGCAATAGCAAGAATTTCTCTGAGCTGTTTCCTGGCCTTGGAGGCATTGCGTCTGTCAAGTGCAATGCCAATGGCAATAAAGTCAGCATCCTTGTTAGCAAGGTGAGGCAAAGCTCTTCCCTTACCGCCCTAGGAGACTGTCAGTTAATAGACTGGTGTGCTCTTCAAGAAGATTCTGAAGACACAAGATTCACTTCTCAGAAATAAACCTACATTTTCTATGCAGTGTATTGGGTCTTGAAATGTCATGTCCAAGCATGTAACTGAACACTAAAATTAAGGTATGTTAAGGTTTTGTACGTTTGGTGAGAAGAACAACCCAGAAAGGGAAGCAATATTTTAGTTACAAAAGCTAATTTGTAGCGGTTCAAAGAAATCAAAGGCTACCTTACTAAAATGGAAAAACAGCAAGAAATTCTCTGATATTTCTTCCAAAGAACGTTCCAAAGAACATGTGATTACCAGCAAACAAAACTGAGAGTGTGAATCAGATGAGAAGAACATACCACCTGAAGTTTTACTTTTTTCAACTTTGTCTGCGTGCTTCAGCAACTTTTGTTTCCCCTTCTTGTAGGCAGATGGGAACATTGATTCCAAGATCTGTTTCTATGATGTTGAGATGGACAAAGTTACACTCTTTGATTTCAAGGCTGAACAGGGGAATGGTAGAGAGGAGCTTGCTGCTGGACAAGGCATTGACAAGTAAGAAGCTTTTGTTTCCAGGAGTATTGCTTGTGGATTTAAGATTGGAATCTGCCCTATGAAGACAAGGCAACACCTTGATACTGGCGTTTCTCTCTCTTTGTGTAGGAACCTGTACAAATTTAATGATTTTATTTCTAAATAATTAATTACAACTAGTGCATTGTATGTCAGCCAGCCTGCAGCCCCGTCCCTTCCAATACGTGACTAGGGAGTGTCAAACGAAGGTGTCAGAAAGCAAGCTCAAAATAAGCATGGGGAGGTGGTTCTCCAGGCAACAGGCAGCTGAGCTGGGGGACTCCTTGCCAAAGGAAGTTACAGGTGCTGAAGGAAGGGTTCATGGAGGTGTTGGACAAACTCGTAGCAGAGAAATGCTGTGGGAGTTGTTAGAAGTGTGGAAGCCGTATCTGGCTCAAGAGGTCTCTGAGGGGAGGCTGACAGAGTGTGGAGGGGCTATGCAAAGAGGTGTTCTATGACTAGAGTCAGAATCCTGATCTTAAAATAAAGAAAAATCTTGGAAAGCTACTCTTCCATGAAGAGTTTACAGGGCAGGAACTCAAAAAAAGGCATTCTGAAGCTCCTCCTAGGAAAAAAGTTAATTTTTAAGTTTAATACAGGATGGTTTTGTATGGATAAAACCTCATGAAGTGTCTATTTACAACTGACAGCTTTGTTTGCATTCAAACTGTTCTGTAGCCAAAACATTAGAAATCCTAGTAGCAAGGCAGCAAAAATGCGGCGAACTGGGAATTCTCATATAGTGGCATGTTAGGGTACAAATTCCCATCTGGTTTTACAATAATTTTTCTGACTGTGTTTTTCTTAAGAAAAAACCATTAGAATAGGAGGTGGTTTGCTTTTTTAGCAGCTCTCTGCTATAGATATTACAAGCAAAAAAAGATTTACTCTCCTTTATCACTACGAGGAGAAACCACCCAGCTCACCCAAAAGTAAGGGCGGTGCAAATTCGGGGGCTCCGCCTCGGTCAGTTACGCAGACGGTAACTCGGAGCAGTGAGGACGTTGTTTTCAAGTGTAGTATCTCGGGTGGCCCAACAGAGGCCACCACGAACTAGTGTTACTATTTCCCTGCTATTTAAATGCTGGAAGGTGTCGGCATGAATAATCCATTTATCTGTGTTTCATTTTAAAGTGTCTTGAAATTGCAATGAGTAAACTCACCAGAAACTAATAATAATCTACACTTCTTCCTCTTCTCTCTCTCCTCCTGAGGCAGAATCTAAACACTCCCGTTTTTTTTTACACAAATACTGTTTTTCAGTTTGGGAGTAATTTACTTTGAATTCAGTGGTGTGGATTATCATGTATTTCTGCATCCCGTCGAATTTCTCCCTTAATTTGCCTTCCAGCCCTATTCCAATCCTCCCTCCAAAGTCCACCCTTCAGTGGTGACAGCAAATGAGAAAAATATTTTAATGAAGTCTTTGGTTGCTCTCTTTTTAAAAACTTGACGCCTCTTTATAATCTGTATTTTTTCAGAAGAATCCTAGGCCATTGCTACTATGTCTGATTCTGTATGTCTGCAGTTTAACACGCCTGGCACTGAAGTAGTGTTTGATTGCCCAAAGGAGGTGGTGAAATCTCGTGTGTTTAAACTGCTGCCAGAGGGTGGCTTTCCTAAAGCTGCAGGAGTTGTCCTTGTGCTTAACAGTGCCTCGGAATTCTTCATAGCCAGTAGAAGGTTCAAGCACAGTGCTGAGGGAAGGGAATGAACTGTGGCACCTTCCAGTACCTACAGGGGCTACAGCAAAGCTGCAGAGGGACTTTTTACAAGGGTGTGTAGTGACAGGACACGGGGCAATGGATTCAAACTGAAAGAGGGGAGATTTAGATTGGATCTAAGGAAGAAATTCTTCCCTCTGAGGGTGCTGAGGCACTGGCACAGGTTGCCCAGAGAAGCTGTGGCTGCCCCATCCCTGGCAGTGTTCAAGGCCAGGTTGGATGAGGCTTTGGGCAACCTGGTGTAGTGGAGGGTGTCCCTGCCCATGGCAGGGGGGTTGGAACTGGATGGTCTTTGAGGTCCCTTCCAACCCAAACCATTCTGTGATTCTATGTCTAGACTGAAGTCCCCCAACTGCAGGTCAGGTTCAGCTGCAGCTTTGGAGTTTCCCTCAGCCCTGGGAAGCCCAGCAGTTCAAAGCATCAGTCATGCTGCACGCCCAGGTCTCTCTGCTGAAGAGAGAGATCTATTGCCTGAGAATATGAACTAATTTCTTATTTTTTTTCCCCCATCAGTTTGATCACAATTGTCTAGTCGTGATCTCTTATGACTGCTGCTTGGCTGGATCTGAACGTGAGACACATGTACCAGAAACTCCCTCTTCACTGCTCGTCTAATGCACATCAGTGTCCCAAGCTCTCTTCAGCCTGGCTGGGCATTCCCAGCAGTGCTGTCAGTGGGCACCCTGGGGCAGGTTGTAAAACCCCCCAGAGGACAGAGCTGAGGCAGTCCCCATGTTACAGTAGCCACACGGCTAGCAGTCGTTAAGGTGGATCGTTTGAAGGATGTTCAAGTATTTCTGTAGGACATGTAATTTCAGTGGAGGCAGCTTTTTTCCTACAGAAGTGTGTTGTGTCCTGTAGTCACCATTAATGTATACAGAGCAAACTGGAAGTGGCGTTGCCAGGTGTAAGGTGTTAGGAGGTAGGAAGATGTATATGGTTAATGTTGCAATGCAGAGGAACTGGTTATAGATAACTGATCAGATCTGAAGATTATCCCGTGGTTAGACCTTTATTTACATGCATGCACTGAATGAACTGGAATGATTTTGTCTCCCTTTCTACGTATTTTTTTCTCTTGTCTTTCGGTAGGTCTGTTGTGGAGTATCCAGAGTTGCACAGTCACGTCCCTGCTTGCCATTTCTGGGACCAGAGTGAACCAAGACTCTTTGTATGTGAAGCAATTCCTGAAACAGGCCTACAATCTCCAGACCAAAAGAAAAACCAAACTGAGAGCACAGTATGGTGGTTTTGTTTGTTTGTTTTACCTTGCTTTACGTGGAGCTCTCTCTGTCCAAGTAATAAATCATCGGTCTTTCATTAAGGATGTGGGAGTTGGTAGTACGTGTCATCTTGTACAAAAATGAGTAGTGAAACTGTGTGTTTGGTGTCCGTGGCTGCAGGCAGTCACTGTGCTTTAGCTTTCTGGTTTAGCCCCAGCTTGCGTACGGTGACGAAGATAAAGAAGCGATTTCTTCATCTGTGCTAGAATTTTGAGGATGATCGTAATGCAGGCTTGTGTCTGGACTACAGTTTTCAGGTGACAGTACTGGGGGTGAATTGATAATCTAGAGGTTTGATACTTATTCTCATTAAAAAAAAAAAAATGCAGATTTTATATCTTGAGTCCGCTTTTAGCAGCAAGAATTAATTTGATAGAATAACAGGGACCCTACCGTTAAGGTGAACAGTGAAGTATGCTCTTCCCACCCAGTTCTTGCCATCTTCTGCTTTGCTGGACAGACATCCTACATATTTATAGTGCTTCCCAAATTGTCTTTTATGGTCTTTTTTTATGTTAGGAAAAAAGATTTGATCAGAAATGATCTAATCAAAGAGTTTTTTCATCGGACCAACAATTCTTCCCCACTTCCCCTGCTGATGTCCTTGTTGCAGCCCTTACCATTTTGTCTGTACAGAGCTGCCTGTCCTTCGCAAATATTCCTTTGATTTGAAATGTCTATGTTGAGTTAAAGTTTCCTGATTTGTGCACGATTTTAGTTAAACCTCTTCCAGTTAGAGATAGAAAGCTCTTTATTTCTTTTATTGGTTGAAATGACTTTAGAAAAATCATGGGAAATCAAGGTAGAAAGGAGGAATGGAATAGGAATGTCTCAAAAGACCTTGCTAGGGTCTTCCAGCAAAGAGAACACTGCAACCTAATATTCCTAATGTAAACAAGTAAAAATGTTTGGCTTCTACATAAAGTTGAAAAATAAAGTTAGAAAGGATGCAGCTTACTTTTTGGCCCTTAGTCAACAGAACTTTTAGCTGTATCCTTTAAGAAATGAGAAGTCTGATTGCCTTTAGTTGGAAAGAAATGCTTCGTTTTGACTTTAGTCAGGTCAAGATTTAAGCTGTTACAGAAACTATTTTTAAATGGCTGGTATATTTCTGTTCCCTGGGAACTCAAAGCATTCAGTGACATGCTGAAATTATAAAATAATGTAGTATTTTAAAAAAAAAAAATTGTTGAAAACAGTTGGGATATTTCTTTGACCTGAGTCAGAGACTTCTAGAGCAGCAGTCTGCAGCCAGGGACTTCCATCTTCACAGCTGGTGAAGTTGGTTCCTGGAAGGCAGAGGTGGAGGTTCCTTTGCAGTAGGAACAGTCTGAGTCCTTGGCTACTTACTACAGGGAGGAAGAGTGCAGCTCTGCCCTCTCCAGCGAGTGTGCGCGTGAATGTATATGTCATTATTTGAAGAGAAGGTTCTGCCAAGTGAATATGGAAAATAAAAACAAAATGAAAGAAGGATATTGCAGCATGAAACTAAAATAATGCTTTGCTTCCTTTTCCAGATGGATGTTTGGATTGTGTCGTTCTTCAGTACTGAAGAGCATGGCCTTTTGCTTCAGGACAGCTTTCCATTGCCTTCGTCCTACCAGGTTCTTCTGGGCATAGAGGTCCCACATTATTACTTTGCAAAAAAGGTGAGGAAATCTTTCACAATTCGTTGTTTCCCAGAAGTTCAGACTTTTCACTGCATAGGGATCAAATTTAACCAAATCGAGTCTGGGGTAAGTAGAGCAACTCCAATGACAGGTAGAAATGACATAAAGATAATTCTGATGTGGGTGTGCTTGGAAGCACTGTGGAAATTGCACTGAATTGGCTTTTCATGGGTGTTGTGTTGCAAACTGCATGCCACATACCAGCATAGGAGACACGGTCATTACTGGGAAATCCAACTGAAAAAGGGATGTGAAAAAAATTCTTTGTGCTTTATGTAGTCACATGCCTATTGCCAGTAGGGGAGGCGTGTGTCTCAACTTCACATAGGCCATAAGAGGGGACACTTGCTACTAGCTTCAGCAGAAGGAACCCAGTACCTGCTGGAAGGAAGCTTAATCCCCACAGAGTGCCAAAGAGAGCAAGAATGCTCATCTTGCACCGTCACCAGATGCCTCTGTGCTACCAACACCAGGAGTGCATGCTTTAACGCCTGAAACTTGGATATGGATCCAAAATTGCAGCTGGGGTAAACAATACCGTGCACGCTGGAAGAAATGCAGCCTACAAATTGGTGTGCTGGTTCAGCTCTGAGCTGAGGTGCTTAGTGCCTGGTAAGACGAGGATTTGCACTGCTCCCTTCGGGTAGGGGGAGCTTGAAAGAGTCTGTTTATTCTGCCAGGGCATTGATATTTGTGAAGTCTGCAGGAGCTCAATATTAATGGGACTTCTAATCCTCTAAATCTTCTAAATAAGGCAAACCAGTGTGGTCATGTAAATCGAATTTCGTGTAGTGTTAAACAGGGAAAACGTATCTAGATGTTTTTCTACTTAATATATTTAGATTCAGAGCAGTACTTTGCAATTTACCCCCCCTCCAAAGACCTGACTGTTGTCACTCTTCCTGGGCAGATCCAGCTTTTAGAGTTGCACTTTGTTTTACTTTCCTTTTTCCCTTAATTTGAAAGGTCAAAAGTCATCTGCTGCATTTTCTAACCTTTCTTTCAACGCTTCCCCCCATCATGTCTCATGCTATTTTACTTTGTTGTTATGTCTCTCTCTCTTTTTATTTTTTTTTAACTCTGTATGGATTTTTGCTGCCATTAGTTATTTTTTCGGAGGGGATGTGTCTATAAACCTGTAAGTATCTGCATTATTTTGCTCCTCTTCCTTCATTCTCTGCTTTTCTCTCTTCTGTTTCCGCTTTCTTCCCTCAGTAGGTTGCTGTATCTTAGTCACTGCCTCACTTGTTATATAATAATTCATTTTGGAAACATGATTTAGTATATGAACAGAGTCTGCTTGAAATATGGCAAATTGAGTTGGGGTAACAAGTCTGTTTTGACCAAATTTCATTCCAGGGTTTCTCCTTATTCACGATAATGTCTTTTCTGTCCTGGTTCCAGAAATTACCCAAATTTGTAGTCAAACACATTTGCACTTTCGATTTCTGTGTTTTACTGTATCTATTCTTTCATTGTATAATAATAGTTTTTAATTGGCTTCTGTAAACCTTAATATTTAGTTATCTAACTCTACAGCTGGGGGAGAGTACATGTGAAATCTGGTGTCCTTCATGACTCAGATGATTTTCCACTGTGTTTGGCTTGTGAAATTTGCCGTGTTACCTACTCAACAGATCATTTGATATTGCTGATTGACTTTATTCCTTTTCTGAATAATGCTTAAATTGCTTTGAGCTGCCTTTCAGTGGTGGGTGAAAGTATCTCTGAAGCTCCAGAGGCTTCAAAACTGCCAGTTGCATGGGGAAGGATTTGAATCCGAGCTTTAGTATTCATAAGCTTCACATGAAGGCAAGAATAAAATAATTGGGTTTCTATAGGTAACTTGCAGAACAGCAGATTCCTTTTTGAGCAGAGACTAACCTTAGGGAAAGGTTTATCTGAAATCTCCAGAAATCTGGGGACTTAAAATAATAGTTATTATCATATTCATAATAATAATAATAATATATTAATGTTAATAATAATGATTATGACCATAATAATAGGAGGCTGCCTCTCCTGTGGTATTTTGCCAATCTCCAGACTATCACTGATGTGCTGTGATGGTTCATTATGACATGCTAATCTCTTCTATGACATTCCATAATTTGGGTAGTTCTGAAACATCACAGCTATTGTCACTACTGATCATGGTCCTGTAGAAATAGAAAACTTGGGGCAGTAGTGGAAATAATTTTATTAATTACATGTACAAAGGAGTAAGTTTCAACCTACGTGATACCTAAGCGATAACGTTCTCATTTTAGCCAGGAGAAGCTGAGAAAGGACAAGCAGAGTCTGACTCAATCAAGATCTCCCAGATGGCTGCGAGAAGACCCATGAGAGATTTTGTTGGATTGGGAGACTGTGATAAGGCCACCCGGGATGCCATGCTGAACTTCAGCTTCCATCTGACTGCTGGAGACATGGACGAGGCCTTCAAATCCATCAAGCTGATAAAAAGGTATCACGAGTGTTTGTATGTATTTCTTTATGGGTACAGTTTATTTTCATTAAATGCTTATATGAAGTTGTGATCCTCCTAAATTCTCCTTACAATTTTCCTCTCTGATTTCATCCTGCCTTTTGTTTTCAACAAGATGAAATATCTTTACCTTACAGACATTTTCATGTCTTCTCTGCTTATTCTGCAAGCTCTGTGGATCGTTTTTCACTAAGCAGGAAAAGATGATTGATAACAAGCAACCATATTCTGTGTCTGAGTGGCAAAAATCTCACGTTATCACTAGAAGAAAATGAACATTCACAACTTTATTTATACATCTAAAATAATCACAGTAATACCAGTATTACAAATTGACCAACGACATAGCTGATTTTTAAATTTAAATGTACATTATTATAATATGGATATTGCAATATTAGAAGAAATAATATAATGTCTTTTAAATATTCCAATATTTTATTTTTAAAAAACCCTGCAATTAATCATAGCATATTATTTCTAGAAAAGATTTTCCAGAAAGTAATGCAGGCAAATGAATACAAATCTTAGTTGGTTTTTACAAACCTACTGCTAGAAGAAACTCGTCGTCAGCTTTATGGTGTTCTACCCTGATAGTCTAGAACAAGGCAGTTGTTCTAGAGCATCAGTCTCTGCAGAGCATTGCTCACTTTGAACATGGTGCAGAGCAGCAGTTGGGGTTGAGTTTCTTATTACATCAGAACTGAGTGCAGAACAGAACTCAAGAGCCAGCTTGATGATCCCATTTTAACAAAATGTGGAAAAGTATGGTGGAAATAATGGTTAAGAAGAAAAGCAGTGTACTCAGCTGGGAGTGACACAACCGTCCTAAAGAGTTTGTAACATTCACAGCTCATGGTCCTTCAAACCTGTCCGTAACTGCTCAGTAGCATCCTTAGACTTTTTAAACATCTGTCACTGCCTCTAGTTCCTGTATCCCAAGGATTTCTGCATAATAGTTTTTGACGTGTTTTTCTTCCTGAAAATTACGTGCACATGACTTTCATGAGGCCACGTGCTTCTCAGGGTCAGGCTTATAAACATTATGCCTAATTCCAAAGGTACTAATTATTTTCATTTCATTACCATCTTAAGTTACCAGGCAGGTCTTTTTTTAAATCTCATGCTTAAGTCCTGTATATATGTCTTATTCTCCAATTTGGGTGCTGGAGTGGCAGTTATATTCTCCAATATTCACTGATTTATGTGCCTCTGAGCATTGCTGGGCAAAGCAGGGTGTCTGAAAATGTCACAGCAAATGTTAAAGCAAGTTGGGAAGAAAAGAAATTTATTTGGGCTGAAATATCTGTTCTTAATAATCGTTTCCAATAATGTAGGTTACTAGTATCTGTGATTTTTAGGGAGTCCAGGTAACCTTCTTCTGTAGATGTATGCCCTCACTGTAACACTGAAGACGCGTTTTTCAGCGACGTGTAGGGCCTGCTCTAGCTGCGTACCCTTTTCATTTCTAATGGCATGTCTGATGCACATAGGAAGAACCCAAACCTTTGTCTCAGGATACAAAAGAAGTGTCTGAAAACAATGCAGCTTCATTCTTCTGCGTTCCCTTACCTCACAATTTGAATGGTTAGAGTTGCTTTTGCTTTGAACTGCCTGAGCTGGCCGTGCTGTGGCTGGGGAGCCGGTGCTGCAGCTGATGAGAAGTTCCTTGAAGAGGAGTGGATGGAAGGACTAGAGTCATGAAACTTAAACAGCTGTTAAAATCATCACTAATTCTATAGTGGATTTTCTGCTTTCTCAGATTGCCTGTTAACTCCAAAGCTATTGGCACTGGTCTCCCACAGCTTTTGACATTATTACTAGGCAGCAGGATAACTTTATGCAGAGAAAATGTGTTTGGTTTTCTCTTTTCTGTATTCTCATTGCATACACTCTGTGTCTGCTACAGCTGACCCTGCTAGCACGTAGCTGCGATGCTCTGTCAGGATTCTGACAATCCAACATTCTGTGCTGTACAGCAGAGGGAGAGGGCAATATAATATAATATATATAAAATTATGTGTTTTATACATATCTATATAGATGGAGCCCATCCAAATAATAATTGAGGGCCTCTGCCCACAAGAGTGAGCTTTGTGATGTCTTTCAACCCTTAGTTTTAAATTATAGCATATATTTCTAGAAGACAACTCCAACACAGACATCCTTGGAGATCTTTCCCCTTTCAAGTCCACTCTTTCAGCACGGTGACTCAACGTAGTCGTTTTCCAGGCCCCGGCGAAACCGAGCGGTCAGGGTACGGCTAATGACAATGACCCGGGGTGCCATGCAGTCCTCACGCCTATGCAGGATGTTCCATATGAGGATGGCAGCTGCCAGCGTGGCCAAAAGACAGGCTCCAATGTTCAGATAGCATGACCAAGAGAGGTTGGTGTACGGTCCGATGCGGTAGAAAGTCACCAATCCGATAACCAGAACAAAACCTGCAAGAAGAATGTGAGAATTATTTTTAATGTGTGATTTTCTGGCATTTCTGGACTGGCAGGATGCCACAGGCCATCATTCATGAGTCTGTAAAGCCTTTCCATCCCTATTATGATGTGCTCTGTGTGTTCTTGAGGGCATATTTGGGCATGGACATATGCAAAGACTGGGTGCCTGAAACGGAGTCTCAATGTTAGGTTTAAATCTGTTCACTTTGATTTAAATGTCTTACTCCCACTTATCTGTACTTCACGTTGTGGTTTTTTCCTCATCCTCTTGTCTCATGTTTCTTCCTCATCCTCATCTCACAGATGTCCTCATTCTTATTCCAGTTGCCAACACAGAAAACTGGTATATTAATGAGAATAATAATGAAAATATTTTATTCAGAATATGGTACACTTTTTCTGAGATTTTAAAATGTTTATTTAAGGTAGTCCACTATTTTAAACTACAAAGATGATGAATAGCTACACATCTACAGAATAATTTTTTAAAAGTACAGAAGCTTAAAAAAATGGAAGGTGAAATAAATGGGACGTTATGGTCCTACTTTTTCTATGCTAGAAAAAGGTGTTGTGAGGCAGGAGTAATATCATGCCTCCAGAAGCTACTGAAGCCAGGATTTCCCTTTCCTTCCTAACCTTAAGCACAGCAGTAAGGGAGGTAATATCATAGTAATAACACTGCACTTGTCCAGCATTTCCATCCAGATGTCCAGTGTAGTGACAGGACAAGGGGCAATGGCTTTAAACTGAAAGAGGGGAGATTTGGATGGGATCTAAGGAGGAAATTCTTTACCGTGAGAGTGGTGAAGCACTGGACCAGGTTGCCCAGAGAAGCTGTGGCTGCCCCATCCCTGGCAGTGTTCAAGGCCAGGTTGGATGAGGCTTTGAGCAACCTGGTGTAGTGGAAGGTGTCCCTGCCCGTGGCAGGGGGGTTGGAACCGGATGGTCGTGAAGGTCCCTTCCAACCCAAACCGTTCTGTGATTCTATGTCACTATGTGATTTGCAAAGCACTGAAAAAAATATTTTCCACAGTTTTCTTGGTAGACATCGCTGATAAATAGTAATGCTATTACAGAGATGAGGTGGGATGACTTTTCCAGTCATGCAGGAGATCCAGATTAGAACAAGGGGCAGAATCCACATCCCTTGACTCCTACTTTTTCGTGTTACTAAGACTGCCCTTTCCCTGAAGAATGCATTGATAAGCACATAATTACTTTTCTGCCCTCTGTTTATTGTATTCACCTCTCTTCCTGTCCCTACTCTCAAATAAAACAAACTACTTTTCAACTTTTTAAGAGAAGTAATTTATACATGTGATTAGATTGAAACAAACACACAAAGAGGCAAATATGCCTCACGGACTGAAAAAAGGTTTTTTCTCTTTGTTCTCCTACACGTTTCCTTAACCACCACCATAACACAAGAAATATCATTGACCTCTGCATCAAGGAAGACTAGAATAAATGAAGGCCCATGAACAGTCAGAAGCTTTCTAGATACCATCTTCCTAAGTTCATGGGCAAGGACAAGTGAAGACCAAGTCAGTCCCAGGGGCTGCATGCTGTTTTCTCAGTTAGCTGCACTGCTTGCAAGCCCTGTTCCCACAGATCCGTGGCAATGCTCTAAAATGGTGTGAAGCCTGTCCCTGCTCTTTGATTTTTCCATGAAAGAGCATATCCTAAGTATGCATTGCATCAAGATTCTTTCTAAAAAGAATACTGTTAATGCAGCGAAGGTGGAAAAGACACAAATGATATAAGATAAAAAAAATAGAGGAGGGAAATGAAATAGAAATAGGAGACAAAAAATCAATCACTGCTTGAGTAGGTGTGAGGCTTTGCTATCCTGAGAGTCAATAACGTGAAGGCTGAATCTCTCTCCTAATAAAACAAGGAATGAATGAGTTCAGGAGATGTCTGGCATCCTCAGTTCTCTTGTGTCTACCTAGAAGGTGGTTTGTAACTCAGTTGCTTGCTGCACCTTCTCCTCCTGAAGTAGCACTGTCCCACTGATGGCATGTACCAGAGAGGGTTTGAAGTCAGGCATCTCTTCCTAAGGAGGAAGCAGGGTTCTTCCAGGAGGAGTAGCTCTTTCCTGCTTTTTCACCACTCTGCAGTAGCCTTTGCTGTGAAAAAAGTCCAGCATGCTCTGGATGGGTTTTAGGCTGTCGACTCAGTTGTAAGGACAGCAATTAATAACTCCTTGATGCAGTCAGTAATTTAATGATTCAGCTTAGTGATAAACGAACGGGTTTCATCTGGGAAAAACGTGGCCACATGGAGCACACTGACTCAACTGAGTTGCAGAGGTCACTGATGGGTATGTGTGTTTGCCAGCACTCCCAAATTGGGTCTGCAGGCTTACTCGGGCTGTTCCAGTGTCAGCCAAGTTGGAGAGGGGATCTCCATACATAGGTGGTCATCTAGCATTATTTCAAAATATACAAGTTTGAAAGTTGCTGCTTGATTCCTGTTAAAAAAAAATACTGAGTTACAGCCTAGGCAGAAAAATTGTGAAGTTGTGCTTTTGACAAATTAAGCTTGGATCTTCCTTTTTTTTTTTTCAGTAATCACTGTTGGATGAAACACCTTGTATCAGATCATGCATGCTTTTAAAAATCCTCGCGTCTTGAAGCCAGGCAGATGTTATCTACATCCTTGGATGGATGAAGGCAAATCATCTGTCTTTGAAGGAGTTAATTTTTCTATATGGTCATATGCTTAGCTCATCACCACGTGAAAGTGGGAATGTTCTCTCCTTGTGCATTCCAAATCCTCACTGAAGTTTGCACATGTGTTTTCAGCATTCACAGAACACTACTTTTGTCCTCAAAGCCACAGTTAATTGTGCTCTTCCTTTTCTGTGATGTTTCCTTGAATTCCTTTTGAATTCTCATGACCTTGCTGTTTGGTGTCATCTGAGCCTTGTGTGACTTTCATCTGTGTCTTTACTGTTAGCAGTAACACCGTACAAGAAGATTGCAGCGGAGCTGGGAAACAAAATAGTCTTCCCTCATTTCCAGTGTCATTCTCTGAGTTCAGTTTGTCCTGAGGCACGTAGTAGGGAAGAGAGGCAGGGATCAGATCCCATATTGTGGAATACATCAGGTTTTTTAAACTCTCCTCTGAGCCGGCTCGGTTCCCCATCTGTGGAACCAAGGTGATAAAACTTCTTTTCTCCTGTGTTTTGTGTTGTATGTCAGAGCTTTGGGAGCAGAATGTGCTTGTCGTAATGTGTTTATAGAGAATTTGGGTGTCTACGTCTATGCTTGAGGTCTTTAGGTCTTACAATACAGATAAATACTGATCGTGCTTTCCTCTTCCACAGGTTGCAGTCTACTTTTCAAAGGATGATAGATACCAATTTTCTCATAAAAGTAGGAAGCTGAGAGAAAGGGAGATTGCTTGCACCTCCTGCAGCCAAGTTGTTGACCTGTTTCTTTTCCTTCCGGTTTAAAATTTTCAGGAAGGAGGGTATTGAGGTACAAAATCAAGAGACCCATCTTATTGATGAGTCTGGCACAAGACAAAACTTCGTGTGATCTGTCCTCCTTTTCAGGTCGTCTTTCAGAACTCTTTTCCAGTTCACATACGCTTTCACAGGGAATCCAAAAAGCATGAAATACATTATTAAAGAATGTGTGAAGCAAATCAGAAAACCTTAAGCAGAAAGAACTCTGAAGCTAAGCTGTTTGTGCCAGTGACCACTTATGGGTAGCTCCAAGGGACAGTTATAAATACTGACAACAGTGCACTTCATCTTGCATTATTTGTTTGAGGCTTTCTTGGCGGAGGGAGCTACGTTCAGGAACACCAGTTACACAGAGTAACCCTGATGCTATGTCATTTCTTGCAGCTTAATTTCCAGTTATCAAACCACAACTGGTGCTTTCCCACTGCAGGTTTATGGCTATTTACCATTATCTCTAGCTCAAACAAGTACTGGATGATTAGCCCTTCTGCTTTCCTTACTGGAAGTCAGGTCTGCTTGTGCAAACCCGCTGGGAAAAACCTTTAGGGTTCATGGTGCATGTGGGAGCTGTATCCCTTGGGCATGAGTGTGGCCCCATTCCTGGCTCATTTAGCCAAGGCAAGTGGCAGTGGTCTATGCACAGTCCTTTATGGCATAGTAGAAGTAAATAAATGCTGTAGGAATCTTCTCAATATTGAATAAACTTTTTTCCAAATACCCAACTTTTAATTAAATTATGTAGCTTTTTCCTTCTTGCTTATGTATCACTGTCCTAAATGACTACAAATCTCCATGCTAGACTGGCCACCTTCGTGAACTCCCTTCCAGCCAATTATCCACCAGGAAAAAGCACTAAGGCTTCCCTACAGATCCCAAAATAAAACTATTTATGCTAGCAAGACTATTTCCCTTCACAGGCCCTTTGCCTGAACCCTGATCAGATGAGCAGCCAGTCTTGCAAGAGTCTTTCTCTCCTTTTGCAGCTCTGTGCCAGTGTCTGAGTGGGGGGGAACTGGGAGATGATGGGTTTGAGAGCTCCCCGACTTGGCAGATAGCAGGAGTGAGTCACTGGAGCTCTTGAGTGGAAAACGTAGGATCTGTTTAGAATACTTTGCTGCAGGCTAGACAGGAATGGACATTTAAGAAGAGAGAAAAACATGACAGAGAGTTGGAAGCATGTTACTGTAGAGAGTTTTCACAGTTGGTTTTACAGTTCTGCCAGTGTATGCGAGCTCCGGAATAAAAATGCTGCTGCGAACATTATTTTCCAGCCTTCTTATTTCATATTAGCATGACCTGATACTGGATTTATAAATGCAGGAGCTCAAGAGCAAAGGGTGAAGAAATCGTATTGACCCAAAAAGACTGAGTTTGCAAAGAATGATATTTAAATTTTGATGAATGCTGCTTTTGTAGAGATGATGTTGCGTGAAAACCCCCAAAGTTTGCTTGGAGAGATTTTACCTGTAATGACTTGATCAAAATTAGACATCTTCAAGCAAAGTGTTCCAATGCGCTGCTTAAGTTTTCTTTGCCCTTAGAGTGGTGGCCTTGTACACCAGCCAAGAATTGAGCTGGACCATTCAGCAGCAAGCCTGTTCTCTAACTGACTGGGCACACACATTCTGTTCACTGATTTGTTCCAGCCCGGCCCTTCTCCTTCAGTGGTCCAGCTTTTTTATTCCTTTGTTATATGGATGTATTTGAGGAGAGGTGTCTTCCTAGTTTGGATGAAACCTTATGAGTAATTCCGTGTGTACCATTTGGTTGCAAACCCTAGCGCACTGATGCAGTAATCCTCAGTTTCTGCAAGGAAAGAGAATGAAGCTGGTGTCTGACTAAGGTTTTAGTTTTACTAACAGCTAAACCAGAGAATTTTCATGATATTGATATCTCCTGTTTTGCTTGTAACATTGAGCAACAACGTCTGGATTTAGTTTCAGTATTCCAATAAAATATCTGGAGGGAGACAGTTGGCCTCCCAGACTGTTTCCCATAGGTAATTCTACTAAAAATAACCAGAAAATTGCTCTACTTGCTATCAGTCATCTTGAACTGTTGATTTGCAATGCAGCTTGAGGAGGGCTACAGATGGGAAATATTTATTGAAATTGAGTTATGAAAATATTAAACACTTTCATCTGGTTTAGTTTCATTTCTGTTTGGCAGCTGTGTCAAGACTTTTAGATGCATGGCTGAATTTGCCTGAATTAATTTAATTATGTATGTCAATCAATTTCAGATCATTTTCTTGTGTATTGTCTAAAGTCTGCACAGAGGCCACATCTTTAATAAAAATCCCGATGAGATTACTTAAAGTACTTTTTTTTCCCATAGAGCTGCTGTTTATCTGTAGTTGTTTCCCATCCGTAGCAAAACAAGCCTGGCTGGGGGGGCTTTTCCGTCGGGGAAGGAAACAGATAACGAGGTCACTAGGAAGACTTTTGGTTGGGACAGTATTGACTGTGTGAGTGGGGGTGGGTTGGGAGAATGTTACTTTTTGAACTTACATTTCAGATCTGTATACTGAATTTCCTGTTTGACTGTAGCTGGCTGCAAGCCAACTACAGATTTTTAGCATTTTAAAAGAACTCCCATAGTCATTTTTTTACTTCTGGAATAGTTTTGTGTTTGTTTTTTGGTTTTGTTGTTTTGTTTTTTTTCCCAGATGGCTCTTGATTTGCATCCCTCCTTTTTATTAGTGCATTGATAGTACAGTTGAAGAAATCTATATTATGTTTTTTCTGGGTGGATAGAAAGTCTATATTGGGAGTTATCATTCTCCTCATAACAGCTTGTCCTATGGGATGACTTTTGCTGCCAGGATGAGGGAGAAGAAGGAAAACAGAGCAGCCAGACTGTTGTTCAGAATTCACAACCCATGCTTCTACAGCAAAACTGCAAACAGGGAGGGGAAATTTTTTCTTTATGTACCCTGTAAATGTTTACAGGGAGCGATACAGCTGCAGTGAGTCACAAGCCTGAAGAAGCTGCTTGTAGGAGCTCAACTGCATTTATCAAAGTGCATTTGATTCCCAAAGTGTGATTGCTGTAGGACTTATGTAAACGATTAATCACTTAACACCTCTTCCTGTGTCAGCTTATAGGGTCATGGAATGGTTTGGGTTGGAAGGGACCTCAAAGATCATCCAGTTCCAACCCCCCTGCCATGGGCAGGGACACCTTCCACTGCACCAGGTTGCCCAAAGCCCCATCCAACCTGGCCTTGAACACTTCCAGGGATGGGACAGCCACAACTTCTCTGGGCAACCTGGTCCAGTGCCTCACCACCCTCAGAGGGAAGAATTTCTTCCCTATATCTAATCGAAATCTACTCTCAGTTTAAAGCCATTATCCCTTGTCCTGTCACTACACGCCCTTGTAAAAAGTCCCTCTCCAGCTTTCTCATAAGCCCTCTTTAGGTACTGGAAGGCTGCTGGAAGGTGTCCCCTTATAGCTTGGCACGTGAAATATTTCAGCCAAAATAAGTGAGATAGGCTTCCATATTTTAAGATCTTTCCAAATATGGTTCATTCTGCAAACGTGTGTAAACAATATCACTTTATTGTGAGGTTTGCAGTCCACATAAAGAGCAAGCGATTTTGGCACTGAGGTGAAACAAAAATGAGAAATAATGAAAATGTTTAGCACAAATCAAGCGGTCGAGTTTTCTCTTTTTGTTATGATTTTTAGGTTATTTACAGTGTCTCATTTATTTGCTTCCTTTTCAGGAAGTGTAAGGTTTACAGCTCCATAGATTTCATCTTAGAACAGATCTGACTTGAGGGTGTTGTGAAGGAAAAAGGTGGAAGGAAGTAATACAGAAATCAGAGTCGCATTGCTCTCGTGAATATCTCCAGCTGTGTTCTCCAACGGCTGCTTTGCGGCTCTGTTCCGCATTAGGATTTTCTGGATATCAACCAGTCTAAAGCTGGAGTACCCAGGAAGAAGAGAGTAGGTAAATGGCCTAACGATTGCTTGATTTAGGTTTAATAGCACAGAAATGAGAGTATGTGTGAGCTCAGATTTCCTGTGATGTGTTCGGGGTCTGGAGTGAAATACAGGGTCAGCAGAAAAACGCAGTAGGAAAAGCTGGAATGCCTTGCTTGAAATTCAGGAGAGAGGTGAGATTGTAATTTATTTAGCTGTACACGACAAGCTCAGTAGGAACAAAAAACTTTTTAATCTTCAGGATATTATATATTAAAGTAATTTAATGCTGAAAACAGATTGGCAAAAGTATTAATCAGTATGATTCAGGTTTATTCCAATCTTGGACTTTCAGAAACTAAGATCAGATCTCATGTAAGGGATACTTTGTGCCGGATATTCCCCATTATGTTTCTAACATTTCACTCCAAAGCCTGTGATAATCATCACCATTGTAGGAGATCGGAGACTTGGCTCCAGTCCCTTAAGGTCTGATCCACTCTGGCAGGTTACTGCTTGTAGCAGTTCAATATTCTCTGAAGTGCTTTTCATTCCCTATCCTGTTAGTATGGATTTTCCTTTCCAATTGCTCTTCTGTCAGCTCTGTTATTCATCCTATATTCAGCACACCGAGTTTGTAACAGTTGCTTGGAAAAAACCAGAAACCCCAAAACCCTCTAGAGGGAAATTTCTAAGCGTTGACACAAAATTCCACCTCCAACGCCGGTTCCATTTTCACCATATGCCTGTTCCAAAGCAAACAGCTCGCTTTCCTGTTAACGGGGAGGTGTGAGGCTGCGGAGCTCCGGAGCGGTGTGAATCCCGTCGCTGTCCCGGGAGCGATGCAGTTTCCTCTCTTCTTTCCTTCCTCTTTGCTTCCTGGGGCTTGATTTTCTGTCAGAGGTCCATCCTTTTGGAACGATGGTCAAATGCTCGTGCAGGTGGCAGAAGCGAGAAAGCGGTGGAGCCTGGAGGCATTGCAAGCTCCAGTGGGATCAGAGGTGGTCGATTCGAACTTGTGATAGGGTTTGGAAGGTAACACTTAGTATGGACCTTGGGAAGCTGTAATGAAACCCACACGTAATGTTTCAGTGGGTAAACTCTGATTAAAAATAAGAAAATCCTAAGTTGACTGTGTGATTCTGAGCTATATACTCAAGCCTTCCGCCATAATGTTGGATTTCTTTCTACCAGTGACCATTGTGGTTCTCTTCAGCACTTGTTGGCGTATTCCAGGATGGAAGTTTGAGATCAAACAGAAGTTGGCATTAGAGGGGACATGATTCAAGATAGGCAGAAAACCATCTGATGAGGGTGAAGGAGAGCATGGTGTAACTGCAGAAGAGGATGGGGAAGGGGGTCAGGGACAGCCACCAAAGCTGTTGTATTGTTTCTGGAGTTGGAGACCTGTGGTTTGTATAGCGCAGTGTCTGTCTCTGAAACTGCCACAAGCTGCCAGATCCATCTCTTCACACCTTTTGAGCACAGACAGGCAGATGAACTCCTTGATTCAGCAGCTTCTTCAGCCATTCTCATTAGTGTTTTGTTAATCATTCTGCCTCTGGCTTTCCTCCCCTCTCCCCTCCCAGCACTGGGGATTTCAAGGTTCAGCTTGCATAACAGGTAATAGCAGGCATTTCCTTCTCCTGTGTCGGGATATCCTGGCGCCCTTCAGTCTCTCTCTGACTGTGTTTAAAACAGACTCCAGCACAGGAAAAAAAAAAAAAAAAAAGCCCAGTCTAAAATTAGCTGCCTTCATAGAAGAAAGGCACACGGCTGTCCACTGTGCTGTTTGTCAATGAAACAACACGTCTAAACAGGGCCAGAATGCATTTCCTCTCCGGGAAAAACAGACATGTCAGGTTTTGGGGAGGATGGGAGGGAGTGAGAGCAAAGCAGGCATCGCAGCGACGGTCAGGGAGAACTACCCAGAAGGTGCCCAGGTACACATGCCATGGTGTACATGGAGGGGCCGTAGGGAGGTGGTGTTACGGCAAGGCTGGCTGCCTGCCTCTTGGTAGCACTGACTGGTGCGTGGAGGTCTTGCTGCACCTGGAAGCTGGATCAGATGCTTTGAGAGTTACAGAACCTCTGCAGTCTCCTCCTCTTGTTTGGATTTCAGGTTCATCGTCCTTAATGGGTGTTTATTGCCTTGAGAACCGTATTTAAATGAAGTAGGATGGATTCTGAACTTGCAGCAGTGTAAGCCTGAGGTCTCAGTAGGTTTATACCATTCCAAATATTCAGAGGTTTTAAAGTTGAAATTAAAATAAAATGGTGTTACTGTAATGTAACTCATTATTTCCATTAATAATAATGACATCTTTTCAATCCGATCTCGTAAGCAGCCTGGATGTTATACCCCATCAATGACAGTTTCATGCATGGGTATTCTATAAAATTGGACTCTTGGTGTAATGAATACTGAGTGACTTATTTTATGTAGTAAAGAAAGGTATTATTGTAAAATGTTTACAGGTTGTTGCCACTGCTGTCAATACAGAATTGTGATAAAACCATTTCCTCCTTTCCTCATTCGTTTCTGTATACAGTCTGTGTCCGTGGGAATTACGGTGGGAATTTTATTTGTAGCAGCCAATGTGACGAATTGAAGTCAGCTTTCTTTGCTAGATTGCAGACGTGTCTGTCTATCAAAATCCAGCTGATGGTCATTGAGTAAAATCCAGTTAGCTAAAAGCAAATAATCACATTTCAGCAAGACTTCAAAAATGTACTCGGCCGTTCTGCTCTGCTTTCAAACGGTTCCTTTGGTGTATTTTGTCC